GTCAATGGATGAGTTACTATTGCTGCATCTTGACTGCCTTTGACCGTCTTCTATGCTGGGTCAAGCAGATCACTTGAGGCTTTGACCTTCACCAGACTCTGTTATGCACAAAACCTGCCACAGACCCTAGCTCCCAGACCTCTAAAGGTTAGACAAGCCAACCTTTCAAAGCTTATAAGGTCATAGCCTAGTCTGATACTCCTTTACCTTGAGATCAGGAAATAAACTCTTAGAGGCAAGAACAGAAAGCTACAAGTATCCAGGCCAGGGAGATTAAGGCCTGATGCAACCCAGAGCCTTGCAGCATGTCTTCCTTCAACTGAAGCTAGGGAAGAAAGAGAGCCAGATAAGTTTGTAAAGCACATAAAAGTGCTTGGAAAAAATGACAATAGGCTTATGTCTTTTAAGAACTTGGGACATAGTTGAAAATAGAAATATCAGGAAGGGTTAGAATTGGAAGAGAACTTTGAATACAGAACACAGATCCACAGAGCTAAAAGAGACCTTAGACCAGGGGTGGGGAACCTGCAGCCTCAAGGCCACGTGTGTCCCTTTAAGTCCTCAAGTGCAGCCCTTTGACTGAATCCAAACTGATCTGTGAAGTTCCCCACCCCTGCCAGACTATAGAATATCACAGCTAAAATTGACCTTAATACATAAGACACATAGTGCCACAGAGGGGAAGTGGTGGTTGAGATGAGAAAAAATATCTTCTGAGTTCCAGTTCATGTGTATTATTCTATCCCAGCAAATAAACATTGAAAATAAGATCAATAAAAATAAAACACCTAGAAATTCCTGCCCCATATTGTCCAATGGCTTACCTATCCACATAATATTCTAAAACTCTGCTCATCACTACCCTCCCACCTTGTCTTGACTTCCTTTTTCTCTGTCAATGGATCCTCCCCATAATAATTCAGGAACTCTGACTCATCTTGCACTTGTCACAACCTGTCAATTCTCTATTCTCACAGGCCTCTCACAGTCCAAAACCTCTTCCTCACTTATATGGACTGTTGTGATAGGCTCCACCAGGTCTTCCTGCATCTAGCCTTGCCTCTTCCTTGCAATGCATACCACAGAAACTATGAAAATAATCTTTGTAACCCTTTGCTTTGGCCATCTTGATCCTCCTCTTCAAATGGCTATATCTATTTATGGATAATTACGAAAAAAAGAAGCTAAATCCCCTTAAGATCTCTGAAATTGATGTTAGTTGATGTAGCATAAGCAGTATTAGCTGACTGCTGCAAGAACAAATCACTTCCCCTTTCTGGCCCTCAATTTCCTTATCTATAAAATAAGGGGAAGGGTAAACTAAACCATGCCTAACATCTTCCAGCTACAACATTCCATTCTCTTGACCAGTGGTTCTTAATCTTTTTTTCTCGTGTCATAGACCCCTTTGGCAATCTCATAAAACCTATGAACCCCTTTTCAGGATAATGTTAAAAAATTCATAAAATAAAATATATAGGATTACAAAGGAAACCAGTCACATTAAAATATAGTTTTCAAAACATTTTTTTTTTAAAAACAAGTCCATGAAATCCAGGTAAAGAACATTGCTCTAGGTCCTAAAGTCCTTATACCACCACCACCTCAGCGCTAATGATTGGTGTCCTGTTTTCTAAAGCTATTTCCAACTCTGCCATTCTAGCTTCTGACTTTTAAGGTTCATCCTAGCTCTACTATTCTATGTGCTAAGGTCCTTTCCAGCTATCACAGTCTGCTTTCTGACAACATTCTCGTTAGTTCCCTTCCATTTGTTTCATGAGAACTCAAGAGACACTAGTGAATGCAATAATACTCAAACCATGGTCTTCATCCTCAAAGGACTCACAAACTGCTAGGGATGGTGAGACACAGACAGTAACAAGTAATTCATAAATCACGACACTATAGGCTAAGTCCCAGATTTGTAAGTACTTTCCTTCAGCGGTAGGAGAGAGACCCACAGGCTGGATCCAGCCTTTGAGGACTACACCACCAGTAGAAGGATGATTGTCCTTATTTTACAGATAAGAAAGCAGAGGCTTACAGAAAGGTTTATAAAGTTAAAGTTCGGCCCTGAAGTCAGGAGTAGATGAGTTCAAATCCAGCCTCAGACCAAATACTTGACACTTACTAGTTATGTGACCCTGGGCAAGTCACTTAACCCCAATTGCCTAAAAAAAAAATAAAAATTTAAGAAAAATTTAAAAATAAAGTTAAAGCTTTCCTTCAATAACAATAGAAAGAAACGTGCTTTCATTTCTACATGGAGATCATAGGATCTTGCTACCATTTCAGGCAACTGATGATACAATGGATAGAGAGTGTCAGGGCCTGGATTCAAGAAAACCTAAGCTCAAATATGTCCTCAAACACTAGCCATGTGACCCTGGATACCATTTAATTTTTGTCTGCCTCAGTTTACTCAACTATAAAATGGGGATAATAATTGCACCCATGTCACAGGGTTGTTCTGAGGATCAAATGAGATAATATTCATAAAGCACTTATAACAGTATCTGGTACCCAGTAGGCACTATGTAAATGCTTATTCCCTTCCCTTCTCATTCAGCCTTCTGTGAGTTACATTTTTTTCCACTAATGGAATGAAGCACTACCGAGCAATCCAGAGTCCCTCACACAGTTCCCTCTGACTGATGGAAAATACTCTGACTCCATAGAAAGAGTGAAAGGCTTTTGAGACCATGGAAGGAGTACAGGGCTCAAAAGTCAGGGCTCTGATGCTTTTAACACATTCAACTAATATTTAGTAAGAGTCTGGAATATGTACAATGCTGTAATTGGCACTAATAATACAAAGGCCAAAAAAAGAATGCAAGAATTTTGGCCCTTGAGAAACTTAGGTTCTGCTGGTGGAAGAATATATGAACCATACATGCCTAAATATAATTCAAGATTTGGAATAACTGTGGAAAGGGAAGATAAGAGAAAAATCCACAGCAAGTAATCTGGGAAATTTTGAGGAGGAAAGAATATTTCCAGCTGGAGGGATCAAAAAGGCTCCAAAAAGGAAGCAGTCCCTGATAGAAGCCTGAGTGACTCTGAACAAGACCCTTCAAGTCTTTGGACCTCAGTGTCTCCATTTGTAAACATGAATAAAAATACTTGCACAATACTTGCACAGCCTAAGGATGGAATGTAATAAGTAATATAAAGCACTTTGTGAATGTGAGTTATTATTATTGGTGCAAGTGTCGTCATCATCATCATCATCATCATCATCATCATCATCATGATGTCTGTATGGCCTAGAAGGTAAAGTAAATGGGAATGGAATTTTTATGTGGTTTCCATAGAGCAGTGAATACTGACATGCTCTGCCCATTTCTTCAACTCACTTCTTGCCAGTAAGGATAAGCCCTCCCCAAGTGCAGTAATAACCCTTCTATAACTTAGTAGATGATTTTAAAGAGTAGCTGCCCCCAAAAAATTCATCTCCCATTGGCCAATCCAGTTTCTTTGAAGTTAGCTAACTTGGTCTTCAGACAACAAATGCATAGTCCATCACTGTGCATCATAGGCACTAACCTGAAGCCTCCCTACTTTGGTTGGACCTGACAAAACATGGACTCTTCAGGCATAATCTTCAAAAATCCAGGATCCTTTCCCCTTTCCACAATGAAACATACAAAAGTGATTTTATTAGCACAGTCTGCATATAGTAAGTGCCAAAGAAACATCTGTTGAGCACATGATTGCATTAATCAGCCTTTGTTCATTAACCATTTGGGAAGGGACAGAATTGGGAGAAATATTTTTTCTTTTTACTAAAACCTCCAGCCAATCTATTTTTGGTCACTAATCTCCTAAAAATTGCCTGTTTTGCCATATCTCTTATCTAAACATACTTGTAGGCCCCAGTGATATCTGCTCAAATGTCAGCAAAAATTGGTAAACATCAATAGATCTGAATAACATTTTTTTCATCATAATCCTAGAACATCAAACCTGAAAGGGATCTTATTCTAAAAATTAGATGCTAGATCTGTAGTGGATCTCAAACATAGAATATAAAATAGTGTGGGATGATCCCTTAGAATGAAGGACAATTAATGTTAGAGACAGAAAAGATGTCAGGAAATAGATAGATAAAACATCAGAGCTGGATAGAACCTGAGAATATCGAATGTCAGAGCTAAAAAGGACTTTCCAATTCTCATTAATCTTGAATCTTGAAGGCTCCATTGGATCTTTCTGCATTTCTATACTCTGACAATTCTTGGTTTAGCACCAGGATGAAAAGCTGTTCCTTGTTGAGATAGTGTCTTCTATATGTATTGAGCTGGGACTAGTTTATCAGTAGTTTAAAGAAACACTTCCGAAGCAATTTTTGAGACATACATTAGAAAATAAAGAATGTCAGAATATAGAACATAGAATATAAGAGGTAGGAGGAACATTAGAACATATAATTTAAGCTCTTGAGAACAGGGCTTAGGTCATTTTAAAAAAGAATCCTTGGGACTCCCCCAGGATCTAGCACACTATTCTGAATATAATATTTAATAATATTTGATGAATTTAATGGAATCAAGCATAAAAATCTAGAGATGGATAAAGCCTAAAATATAATGCTATATTATTAAAATGTTAGCATGAGAACCAGAGAACATTGGATCTGGAGGGGACCTTAGAAAAGAAAACATAGACTACTAGAGCAATAGAGACAGAAGGGGCCATAGAGATTATATAAGCCCTTTTACACATGAAAAAAAAACCTGAAACTTAGAGGGGGAAAATTATTTGCCCAAGTTCACATAATAAGTTGGTTATTGATGGAGCTAAAATTAGAACCATCATTTCTCACCCCCAACCTGGGCAATCCTTCTGCTAAACCAGAATGCCTCCTAGAAGTCACTTGGCACACAGCTCTGTCTTGCCAAATATCTTAATTAACTCTACTATAAGTGAGTGATGTCATTGGCCCAATTGTATAAATGGAGGGAGAGCTAATGGGCACCTTGATAACTGACCTGAACCCAGAGCAACAAGAATGGCTTCTTCAGTCTTTCAGATGATGATGGCCATAGGGCTGCTCACTTTGATTCTTACTTCTTATGCTGGTGAGTGTTTTTGATGATGTGAAATAGGAGAAATAGCCATTACCATTGATAAAAAATTAAAGAGCATAAGTGATGGATGGAGCCATATTCTATTCTCCATTCATTTTACAAAAGGGGAAACTGAGACTCACTGAGAGAATGACTTGCCAGAGGTTTTAGAACAAGTTAGCATGAGATAGGATAGAATTGGATAAGATAGGATAGGATAAGATGGAATGGGGTGGAATGGGATGGGATGGGATGGGATGGGATAGCTAGGCTAGAATACAAGTTCCTTGTGAACAGAGAGGGGCATATGTTGCTTTTGTATTTGTATTATAAGTGATGTTCAATAAATGTGCAACAGTTGTTATTGATAATATAGAAATCTATGTGTTATGGAGGAAAAACATTAAAATGGATGTTAGAACTCTGATGCCGATTTAATTTATATCTCAATAAGTTGAATAAGTTTCTTAAATTCTCTGGGCTGGTTTCCTCATCTGTAAAATAAGAGTGCTAGATTAGATGATCATTAACATTTTATGTTCTATGATCTCAGTTCCTTTCAAATTCTAACATTCTGTTTTAAATATAACTTCTAAGTCTTAAAGACTCTTCCATAACTAATATCCTTTGGTCTAAGGAAAGTTCTAGTTCTGCTATTAGACCTTCTAAGTGAATGTTGAGTTGTTTTCAATCATGTTTGACTCCTTGTGATCCCATCTGGGGTTTTCTTGGTGAAGATACTGAAGTGGCTTGCTATTTCCTTCTCTCTACACATTTTACAGATGAGGAAATTAAGGCAAGCAGAGTTAAGTAACTTGCCCAGAGACACAGTTAGTAATTGTCTGAAGTCAGATTTAAATTCAGGAAGATATGTCTTCCTGACTCCAAGCCTGCACTCTATCCACTGTGTCACCTAGCTGCCCCCTAGATCTTCTAAAGAATCTTCAGACTCTACCTGTTTATGTTCTATAGTATAAGAGTAATTGCATAAGATTGTATTATCATAGATTTAGAGTTGCAAGAGACCTTATTGGTCACCTAGTCTTTTTTTCAAAGACAAGGAATGTAAAGAGGTTGTCTCCTAGGTAGTAGTGGCAAAGCCCCAAACTGAAGTCAAGCTCTTTGACTATCCCATGCTGCCATCTGTATAGGCATTCTGTGTCTATGTTTTAATCAACTTAAAAGTCTCTTCTCGGTTAAGCATCTAATAAAGTGCACATTCCTCAAAAGAAGAAAACATAGTTTGACCCATGATACATTCTCCTTGTTTTTAGCTTTTTATTGCCAGAACCTAGCACAGGGCCTTACACATAAAAGGTATTTAATAAATGCTTATTAGATTGAATTGAATATTTTATGTTCTGTGTTCTAAAGTCACTTTCAGCTCTGATATTATATGTTCAATTTTCTAACTTTGCATATTTTACATTCCTTCCTATTCTAATATTCTATGTTTTTTTTCCAACTAGGATAGTTTATGTTCTCTGTTCTGATATTTTATGTTCTAAGTTTCCTTTTCGCTCTACAATTCTAGGATGCATATTCCAAGGTCCATCTATCTCTGACAGTCTATACCTGTGTCCTAAAGTACCTTTCAGCTAAGACACTGGCTATTTTCTACACTCTAATATTCTAACTAAGGGCCTATCTAACTCTGACATTCTATAACAAAGACAAAAATGGCTAGAGAAATTTCCTGCAGAGAAAACAGACCAAGTTCAGTCTAATATCGTGGCCATTCTATGGGACAAAATGGCTGAGAATACACTTTGGCTTCCAGGTGACAACAATTCCAACTCTGATCAAAACAAGGACAAAGAAATCTCAGAAATGTTTTCATTTCTGGGCATGGGAATTATTGAATCTGCGATGGACTATATTCTCAACTCAATGTTCAGGACCTCGTAAGTGATAAACCCAAGCAGACATCTCTTTAGGTTTCTATTTACACATTGTGGGAAGAGGGGCAAGAAGAAGTGGTTTGAATATGCAAATGTGTATTTTTGCTGTAGGCTCCATAGGAACCAAGGTCAATGTCAGGTGAGGCTTAGGAGAAGCAGATGGACTTTTGTTTTGTGATTCCAGGGGAGATTCAGCATTTACCACTCTTCTCTTGTGCATCATCATAGCCTTTATGTGGGTAATAGTGTAGTGTGGAGGGCAAGGTAAATTAGTGGCAGAGGCAAGATTAGACTCAAGGTGTCTTGACTTCCTATCCAGTGGCAAATATATGGAATTCAATTTAATAGAACAAATATTTATTATGTACCTGCTATGTGCCAGATGCTATGCTAGGCATTGGGGATAAAATGAAAACAATTCCTCTCCATCAAGTAGTTTTTATTCTACCAAGGGAAAACAATATGTATACACACACACACACACACACACATATATATATATGTATGTATGTATGTATCTATATATATCTAGATACAATACATATATATTAGCAAATATAAAATAATTTAGGCAAGGAGAGAGCTGATAAGAGGTGGGTTGGGGGGAAGTTAGGAAAAATCTTATGTAAGAGATGGTATTTGAGCTGAACTTCAAATGGAACTAAGAATTTCAAGAGGTACAGATGAGGAAAGAGGATTCCAATCCTGGCACCTGGAAATAGCTTACGCAAATGTATGGAGGTAGGAAAAGGAATATTGTATACAATAAATAGCAAGTAAGCCATTTTCGCTAGAAAATAGAATGTATAATGGGAAAACTAAGAGGAAAAAAGCAAGAATCAATCAAATGACAATGTGGAAACACTAGAGGTTTTCCCAATAAGTACACTAGTAAAGCACCATATCTAATTCAATTCAATGCAATAAACTTTTATTAAGTGCCTTCTGTGTTCCAGAACTGTGCTAGGCACTAGGGATGAAATAAAAATGATCCATCTTCTAACTCCATGCGTTTGCACAGGCTGTCCCCTATGCCATTCCCAGAATGTTCTTCCTCATCTGTAGCTCATGGAATTCTTGGTTCCATGTAAGAATGAGCTCAAGCACCAACTCTAATACAAAACATTTCCTGACTCACAATTGTTATTTGAAATAGTTCTAGAAATACTAGTAACAAGATAACAATAAGACAAGAGAAAGAAATTAAAGAATAAACCCTGGGGGAGAAGGACAAAATAATCCTTGTTTGAAGATAGCATGAAGGTTTACTAAGAAAACCTTAGAGAATCAGCAAAGAAACTCATTATAATTACTTCTTTAGTAAAGTAGCAAGGTATAAAATAAATCCTCAAAAGTCTTTAGCATTTTTATGTAGCAAGAGTAAAATGAAGAAGGGAAACTAAAGAGGGAAATTCTATTTAAAATAACCTTTAAAATGCAAAGATTAGCTAGGAGTCAATCCTACCAAGACACATGCAAGATTTATGCAACTACAGTTACAACACTCTCTTTCAAGAAAGAAAGAATAATTTAGATAATTTAAGGGACCCACATTGTTTAGGGCTGGGCCACGCCGATATAATAAAAATGATGTGCTACCTAAACTAATTACTAAACTAATTAACACATTGAATGCTTTACTGCTCCAATTACAAAGAGGATATTATATATCTATATCTATATCTATATATGTATGTGTGTGTATATATATTATATATATATAATATATATATATATAAAACAAAATTCGTTTAGAGGAACAAAGGGTCTAGAAATTAAAAGAAACAATAAAAAAGAGTAAAGAGGAGTGATTAGACTTCCAGACTTCAGATTCTATGATAAAGCAGCAATCACCAAAACTATTTGGTACCAGTTAAAAAATAGAAAACTAGATCAATCAATCAATAAGTATTAAATGCCTACTGTATACCAGTCATTGTGCTAGACACTAGGAATGTATAGATAAAAATGAAAAAATTTCTGCCCTAAAGAGCCTACTTTTTAAAAATTAATTATTTATTTTTAGTCTTCAACATTCCCTTCCATAAGATTTGGAGTTCTAAATTTTCTTCCCCTTCCTCTCCTCCCCCCTCCCCAAGACAGCATCCAATCTGATATAGGCTTTATATATACATTCATATTAAACATATTTTCACATTAGTCATTTGTTTAGGAAGAATTAGAACCAGTGGGAAGAACCACATGAAAGAAGAAACAAAAAGAGAGAAAGATAGAGAGAGAGAGAGGGAGAGAGAGAGAGGGAGAGAGGGAGGGAGGGAGAGAGAGCAAATAGTATGCTTCAATCTGCATTCAGTCTCTATAGTTCTTTATTTGGATGTGAATAGCATTTTCCATCATGAGTCTTTTGGAGTTGAAAGAGCTTGCATTTTATCAGGAGATATAACATGTATACATATATAGATATAGATATATACAAAGTAAATATGTAGTAATTTGGCAAGCAAAGCACTAGAACCTAAAGTGATCAAGAAAGGCTGCATGAGGAGATAACATTTGAGTGGAGCTTGAAAAGAAGATACTGATTTTAAGAGACAGAGAACCAGGTACATTTCAGGCATGAGTGATAAGAAGGAGTGCTAAGCAAGAAGGTCAATTTAGCCAAACCACAGAGCAGACCTGCACAATCTGCAGCCCACCAACAGATTTTGGGTGGCCTGTGAAAGATGTAGAAGATTTTTTCAGAAATCCTTTGGTGAGCCGTAGGTTGTGCAGGCCTGCTATAGAGTGTATAAATGGGATTAATACAATCTGGTTGTAAAAGGCATTAAAGCCACACAGAAGGGTGTTGTAGTTAATAGAGATAATAAGGAGGCCCTGGAATTTTATTCAGTAGGAGAGTGACACGGTCACATTTGTGCTTTAGGAGTATTACTTTGATGATTTTATGGAGGATGATTAAAGAGGAGTCTTGGAAAAGGAACCAATTAGGAAGCTATTGCAATAGCCCAAGAGAGATGTGATAAGGGTTTGAACTAGAGTTGTGACTTTGTGAGTGGAGATAAGGGAACAGATTAGACAAACAAAAATCAGAAATAATTGAACTGAATAACTCATTGTTCACTGATGCTGAGAACATAAATTCAAAGGGAGAACTCTCTATTTGCTAAGAAACTAAAGGAGAAACTGAAAAGTGGTTTGCCAGACATTAGATTTAGACCAACATCTTATACCAAATACCACAAAAACTTCAATAAAGGCCACCACCTAAAATTTTTAGAAGAGAATAAGATCAGGTACCTTTCACTGCTATTCTTAGAAAAAGAATTCCTAACTACACAAGGGATGGAGGAGCTCTCAAAAAACAAAATAGTGTATAAATTAAAAACCTTTTGCATAATCAAAATTAGTGCAACTAGAATAAGAAGGAAAATTATTGGGAGGAAATCTTTACATCAGATATCTTTTATATGGTTCTGATATCTAAGATTAATAAGGAGTTAACACAAATACATAAGACCCAGAGCCATTCCCCAATGGCTAATTTGTCAAATATAAACAATTTTCAAAAGAATTGAAAACTATTAACAAGCACCTGACTAATTACTCTGTATTATTAATAAAAAGAGAAATGCAAATCAAAACTAACCTGAGGTTTTATGTCATACCCAGAAAATTAGCAAAGATGACAAAAAAAAAAATAAGGAAATAGTCAATGATGAAAGGGTTCCAGAAAGACAAGCACACTGCTATGCTGATGGTGGAGGAGTGAATTGGTCCAACTATCCTGGAAAACAAATTTTAATTTTTTAAAATTAATTTAAATTGTTTTAATTTTAAAAGTGTTGTAAGTGTCCATATCTTTTGAACCAGAGATCTCATTGCTAGGCATATACTCCAAGGAGGCCATAGACAGAAAAATGGAACCATAAATAGCAGCACTTTTTGTAGTAGCAAAGAACTAGAAACAAAATAGATGCCCCTCTATTGGGGGATTGCTAAATACATGATATGTGAAAGCAAAAGAATACTATCTTTCCATAAAAAATAGGGGAAATTCAGAGAGGCATGGGGAGACACATGACCTGATATGTGGAACAACAAAAAAAAAATAATGTCTACATTAACAACAACAATGTAGAGAAAAAGAAGAAAATTACTTTATATTTACTATGCATACATTGTGTACATACCTATTTATGTGCACATTATGTCACCTAATAAAATATAAACTCTTTGAGAGAAGGAACTTGTTTCATTTGTATCTTTCAAATTCTGGTGCCTAGCATGGTGCTTGGCTGAGTAATTATATCACTAAGCTTGGCCCTAGAGAAAAACTGAGAAAATTCATCTCCTTCCTTTCATTGCAGAGGTGGGGGACTATGAGTGTGAAATGTTACATAGGCTCTTAAACAAATTTTGGTTTAGTTTTACTGAACTGTTTTTTACACATACATACACACACACACACACTTGTATATGTGTCTGTGTATGTATGCTTATATATATTTTATGTATGCATGTACACACATACATATAACTGTGTATACTCATATATATGTATTATGTGTGTGTGTATCTCTACTTATAAATATAAAATTCAGCACCTCTGAGAAGGATGACTTAGGATCCAACTCTTTCCAATACCAATGAGAATATGTATGTGTGTACATATATGTATACACACACACATATGTATACATATACATTTGTCACAAGAAAAGTGCACATATACATACATACATACACACAGATACACACACATATATATTATATATAAAGAGATGATTCTCTGGGTAAAGAAGGAAGACAGGATGTATTTGGAATCAAAGGACATCAATAAAAATAAGACTTTTTAAAAATCAATCAATCAATATTTGTTGAGTATTTATTTGCACACGTTATGTGCAAAACCCCTCTGGGCTTTGATGAAGTTAACTCTGTCCCTCTATTTGGTAGAGAGATAAGTGAGACCAATCTCTCTCCATCAAGGATTTTATAGCCCAACCCTATCATTTAATGAAGGAGAAGACAATCCCACCAATTGATTTGTTTAAAAACATACACAGAGTACATAGAAAATTCCACTAGGAAGGTGACTTACAACGTTGAATGTTAAAAATAGAAAATACTTTAGCATATGGAATGTTTAAGCTAACATTGGCCTTAGAATGCCTTAGCAACAAAACTCTTTAGAATATTTTTTTGTGAATTATAGGAGACCATTTAATCTAAACCCCTAATTAAATGCATGAGGAAATTAAGATGTTAAGTAACTTGGTCAAGGTCACAAAACAGTCAGCTTCAGAGTTAATATTCAATACTAGATCCTCTGATGCAAAATCCAGTTTCTTTTCTACTCCGCCACATTGCCCCTAATATGCCTCATAAAAGACAGAACACACATTTCTGCAGCTGAAAGAGCCTTCAGAACACAAAATACAAACTGATAAAAATAAAAGAGCTCTTAAAGCATAGAAAAAAAGATTTTAAAAATCATCTTGGCCAGTGCTCTCACATCCCTTCAACCATAGATAATTTCATCTCTTTATTCCTTCCTTTCAAGTGGATATATGAATTGGGGAAACAAGCAAGGAAAGACTCCAGGAAAATGACTGGTAAGTTAAAGACTGATTTTAACATCTAACTTTCAAGCCTACATAAACAACCCTTGTGTAGTGGAAAAACCATTGAGAGAACTGTTTTTAAATCATGGCTCTAAAACCTACTGAAACTACAGGACCATGGGAAAGTATATTTTTCTCTCTCTGAGCCTCAGTTTTCTGTTTTGTAAAATATAGAAAAAACTCCCAGTCTTGCTTCCCACAAAGGATTGTTGTCCAGATCAAATGGAGTGAATGTGACAGGAAAGGAGGAAGGAAGAAAGGAAACAAGCATTTATTATTCACCTACTATCTGTCAGACACTGTGCTAAGTGCCTTACAAATATTATCTCATTTGATCCTCACAGCAACCTAGGGAGGTAGGGGCTATTATTATCCCCATTTTGCAGATGAGGAAACTAAGGCAAACAGAAGTTAATACACTTACCCAAGGTCACATTGTGGTAAGTCTCTGAGGCAGCATTTGATCTCAGGACTTCCTGACTCCAATCCTAGGGGTCCACCCACTGAGCTACCTATCTACCCAGAAGAGTACAGCTTCCTCCTCTGGGTAGTTCTAGGTGGCACAGTGGATAGAGCGACAGGCCTGGAGTCAGGAAGATCTAGGTTCAAATACAGCCCAAGATATTCCTAGCTGTGTGACCTAGTGCAAGTCACTTAACCCTCTTTGCTTCAGTTTCCTCATCCATAAAATTCACTGGAGAAAGAAATGGCAAACCACATCTTTGCCAAGAAAACCCCAAATGTAGTCATAAAGAGTCAGATGTAACCTAAATGAAGCTTTAACTTATATAGAACTAAAATCTACTTCCTTGTAATGTTTCCTATTCCCTGACCCTTATTTTCTCTAGTTTCTTGGAATGGGACAGAGACTCCCCAATAAGCAGAAGGGCCTGACAATTGAGGCCTCTTACACTTCAGGGCCTTTCAGCAACTCTGAGAAGGGAATTCAATATGGGTGACTCAGGAGTACAGCTCTTTCCAACACCAATGAAGTTGGTTTAGTGAGTCACTTCTAATGTCACGTTTGCATAATAATCACTTAAGTACTGTAAAGTTCATTTCTGAAGAGGAAAGAACCTCTTGGATGGCCCAGCCCTTCAGAGTACAGAGTATTTGGTGGAGTTCTAGACAAATGGATCTGTATAATTCTAGATAAGAATCAAAAAGATTTTCATAGGCCTAAGGATGGACCAGTTTTGGGTTTGGTTTGGTTTGGTTTGGTTTTTTGTGGGGTGAGGGGTGATGAGGAGAGAGGCAGTAGAGGCAGTTTGTCTGAATCAGTTATTTTAATCTACTCAGAAAGCCCCATGGAAACTTCCTCTGTGGAAGCTCCCTCTAGTGGTGGAAATCAAGAACTGGCTACACTATTTAATATTAAAGGGTTGCCTGGATGTACTAGTACATTAAATGACTTCCCAGTGGTCACAGGGCTACTGTATGATAGAAGAAAGACTTGAACCCTTCTGACTCAAAGATAAACCTTTATTTCTTGCTGTCTTCTCTGAATCTAATAAGGTAAAATAATAGGGACAAATGTAAAGTCCTATACTTGGGCTCAAAAAAATCAGCTGCATAAATGCTAGAAGGGCAAGGCATGGTTAGACAGCAGTTCCAGTGAAGAAGATTTGTGGAATCTTAATGGACCAAAAGTCCAATGATTCAGGCATTGACTGAGTCAACAGTGTGGTTTGTCAGACAATAAAGCTACTTCAATCTTATGTTGTATGAAGAGGGACATTGATATGATAATCCCACTGTTCTCTACCCTGATTAGATGACATCTAGATCATTATTTGGTTGTAGGCAAAATATTTTAAGAATAATGAATAGCATTTGTTTGAATTGGTTTAAATCAAAATGGACCCATGCTCTGGGATTCTCCAGTAGGAGAGGCTGATATGGGGTTTTGGGATCATATTATACAAAGATCATTTAAAGAACAAGGGATGTTTAGCTCCTATGGAATAATTACCTTCCTATATGTTGAGATTTCTCATAAATGCTTTTCCAGCCCTAATCTCTCTGCTGACCTTTAGTCTCACATGTCCCAGTGCCCTTCAGACATCTTGAACTGGATGTCTAGTAGACATCTTGAACTCAACATTTCCAAATTGAAGTCATGTTTCCCGCTAAAACTTCCCCCTTTCCAAACTTCCGTATGACTGTCAAGGGCACCACCATCCTCCCAATCCATCAGGTGTTATTTGCCGCTCCTCACTATTTCTCACTCCCTGTATCCAATCTATTGCCAAAAGCTGTCAACTTCACCTTTAAAACATCTCTCAAGGATGGTTCTTTTGCTCCTCTGATATTGCCACCACTCTTGTGAAAGCCTTCATCTCTTCACACCTGGATTATGACAAAAGTTTGCTAGTTGGTCTGTCTACGCCAAGTCTCTCCTCACCCCAGTCCGTTCTCCAGTCAGCTGTTAAAGTGGTTTACCTAGAGCAACAGTCCAACCATGTCAACCCCACACCCAATAAACTTGACTGGCTCCCTATTACCTCCAGGATCAAATACAAAATCCTCTATTTGACCTTAAAAGCCCTTCATAACCTACATCGTCACCCTTTCCAGTCTTCTTAAACTTTATTCCCTTTACTCTTTGATCCAGTGACACTGGCCTCCTTACATTCTTTTTCCTTGCTCAAAATCTACAGTTTCTATTATGAATTAACACAATGGAAGTCGAACTAAAACCATGTAACAGCTAACCCTTGAACAAAATTGGTTCTGTCAGCCCTAAGCTGATGAGAATCTCAGAGCTACAAGGAATCTCATAGACAAATTAGTCCCACTCCTTCCTGCATAAGAATCCTTTCTGGATCATTCCTGACATGTGATATGCCAGCCCCCTTCCAAGGTCCACCCAATACTCTGGAGGCTTCCCTCTGTTTCTTTGAGTATCTCAGACACACCAGAGTAACCATCATTCTACTGTCACTCATTTTTACTCCAAAGTCAGCCCACGTACTTGTCCCCACCCACTTTTCTGATCAGATAGATTGAGAACGATATATTTTATACCACTGTTAGAAAGATCTTGGGCTAAGTGGTACAGTGGATAGAGTACAAGTTCTGGAAGATTCATCTCTCTGAGTTCAAATCTGGCCTCAAACACTTACTACCTGTGTGAGCCTGGGCAAGTCACTTCATGCTGTTTGTCTCAGTTGCCCTTTCGTCTCCGTCTCTGTATGTCTGTGTCTTTTTCTGTCTATGTCTCTCTTTGTCTCTGTCCTTCTCTGTCTCTGTCTCTCTCTGTCTCTCTCTGTCTCTCTCTCTCTCTCCCTCTAATGCTTCTGATCAATGGCTCTTGTTTTTTCTCCTAGAACCTTACCCCAAGCTCTTAGGCCAAACTAGGTCTTTCTTATCCTCCAGTTCCACTGGCTGCTCACTCCTGAGGCCTATTGTCAGTAGAAAACCAGCAATTTCAATCCCTTGGATCACCTGGGAAGGCTGTGTGGAATTGGTGCCTCAGCCATTTCAGAGCTCCCAGAAGACAAAATAAAGTCCAAGAGCTCAGAGACTTGTGTTGTTCCAGTGTCAGGATGTGTCTATCAGGATGCTGGTGCTCTCAGTATGAGAATGTCATCACTGAACCATACTAAGAACTGTGTCTAGGGAAGGGGATATGTCTCAGTAACTAGATTTCTTGACAATAAACAATAGAAAGTCCAGGTCACTTTGGCTCCAATTTGTGCTAATGGAAATCATTCTAAAATGTCTGAGCCTACTTTCCTGTCTACATCTGATACCATGCAGAGACCTCAGATTTTCTTTCTTTTTTTTTTTAACTTAGTATCTTATTTAATAGCTTATGTCTAAGGTCTGAACAGCTGGATGGCTCACTAGACAGAGCTATGGGTCAGGAAGACCTGAGTTCAAATCTGACCTCAGACATTTACTAGTTATGTGACTATGGGCAAGTCATTTAACCCTGTTTACCTCAGTTTCCTCATCTGTAAAATGAGCTGGAGAAGGAAATGGCAAACCAGTCCAGTATCTTTGCCAAGAAAACCTCAAATAGGGTCATGAAGAGTCAGACATGATTGAAAATAACTAAACAACACAACAATCCAAGGTCTAGGTTTGATGTATCTTTCTCGCTTTAAGTTTTTATAATCTAAATTCTAGTATTCTCTTTCGAAATCCCTTCCAGTATACATTTGTAGCACCCCCTTCAGGGCTACCTCCCAAACTGTACTCACTTTAACAGATCAGATCACCAGAGGGTGGCTAACTACTTTTCTTCTCAGGATTCTAAGGGCAATCCCAAAGGAGATGCTAGGGTTTCCAATACTGTTGCTTAGGACTCCATAATTGTGCTCCCTATTGATTATCAGCCAGAGATAGTTAGTAAGTATTTGGTATTTTGGCAAGCAGGTATAGCTAAGACAGTTGTTAGAGAAATGTCTCCTAAACTGAAGGCAGAGTCTTCCCTTGAACCAATAAGCTCCCTGGAGTGAGTGGGCCCAGACTTAAAGATAATATATGCCCAAAGACTAAATTCAAAGCTGCTGATTGCTGGGAGTTTTTTGCTCCCTTCATGGAGTTCTCATGAAGTTCCCTTAGCATTATGCCTTTGCTGACCTCTGAGGGTCAGTGCCCTTCTAGAATCTTGAAGCTACCTTTGCTCAGTTTGTCTACTTTATCCTCAGGGGGTCCCTTATCTTCAGATGCAGATGCTCTCATAAGCCATTATTGCTCCAGGGTTGCTACTATTGGATTTAGTAAGCATTTAAGATTTTCCTCCCTTTTGAAAACAAGGTCATCTCCTGATCAATGGTGAGGAAGAGGAGCTCCTGCTTTCCCCTCCACCTAAACACAACTCTCTCTCTCAAGAGTTCTTCGCTGCCCAATTAAACCACTACTCAACTGATCTGGTACTGAAATGTATGATTTAGAGCTGCCTTGCTATTTTATGCATAGAACTAGAAATGTTTCTGATTTTTTTCTGCCAGTTACAAGATATTTCTTGCATACAATCATTGTTTTCATCCAATGACCTAACGCCCTGTAATTCTTTCAAATTGATGGAGAATGGTCTTAAAATGAGAATTTGGGCCTTTTGTGATTAATTGGGTGGCAGGACAAACCTCACCCTTAAGCTGTGGTCTATGATCTAAGAGCATATGTTATTAGGCTAGTTCCAGGTCTAACATTTCATGGTATATATTCAAAGGCCACTTCCTGTTCAGGCACTGTATTGTTGTTGGTTTTGTTTGTCCTTCGTTTTCAAAGAGGACCAATGACATTATGAAGTAATGTCCTAACTCATGTGTGAATCGGATTCAAATGGGCAGAGTTGCACAGTCATCAGCTTCATTCTGTCTTCCAGAGTCATTGAAGTCCAGAGGCAAGACAAAAGTCAGGATGACTGGCAATGGCCTGGGTTGCAGTGGATTACCTTGAGGTCTTTGATGTCTGGCCAAATTCTGAGCACCCCACAGTGCCTGCTTTAGCCACCCTCATGGTCATTGGAACAGATTGTTCTCATCTGCCCATTCCATCAGGGGAAGTCTTCACATGCTTGGGGTAGACATCCTCCTAACTCACAGACAGGTCTGAGACCTATTGGTTACCCTCAACCAGGTTTAACCTGCCAAGACAGTTTTACCAGGGCACAGTCACTGTGCATACTACAGCTTCTTGGAGCCATAGGTGAGAGTTGGGTGGCAGATGGACACCAAAAGTGGAATGAGCAGTCCTGAAAAGGGCTTAGCAAGCCCTTACACCAGAGATGCTGGTCCACCCTGTATACCCCAAGGCACTATATACTCTGTCTTTGAAGGTGCCCCTCAACTCTACTATTCTATACTCTAAGATCTCTTCTAGTTCTTTCATTCTGTGTTCTAAGGGCTCTTCTAGCTCTCCCATCTTATGTTCTAAGGTTGTTTGTGGTCTGTCATTTCATGTATTATGTTCAAATTCCATTTATAGATCTAACATTTTATGAACTGTATTCTAAGGTACCTTCCAACTAAAACATTCTGTGACTGATAAATAATCCCTTCTAGATCTCAGAGCAGCCCTTCCCTTAACCATTCTCCTCCCATTCCCCAGAAATGTAAGACATAACAAGGAAAAAACTGTCTAAGTGCTTTATTGATACAATTCAGGATGCCTGGAGTCAGGCAAATGATAAAGCATTAAAACGATAAGAGGAAGATAAGGGAGGATCCTGAAGCATGCAGCTACTTGTTTTGTCTATCATCCTGAAATCACACCAGGTGGGACAAAGCCTCCTGAAAGATAGAAGAGTAATCATGATGAAACAAATTGCTTGAGATAATTTTTAGGAGGAGGGCATAGGGGTCTGGGGTGAGTGGTCAGAGAATTATTTTCCCCCCAGGGCTTAGAAGCTGGTATGGATTCAGTACTACTCTGGTGGGAGTACTAAAAGCAATAGCTAGTATTTAGTATTATTTTTAACAATAATAATGCACGTATATATGCCTTAAAGTTTACAAAGTGCATTATGTATTGTCTCATTTGATCCTCACAACAATTCTGTGAGATAGGTACTATTTTCATCTCCATTTTACAGATGAGGGAACTGAGGCCGAGAGAGGTCAGGTGACTTGTGCAGGGTCACACAGCTAGTAAGTGAGTAAGGCAGAATTCAAACTCAGGTCCTTCCTGACTCCCTCAATCCATGGTGCAACCTAGCTGCCAAATAAATCTTCCCATTGCAAAGCACTTTTCCTTTCATCCCTTCATGAGATCTTCCCAACAGCACTTTGAGAAAATAACAAATTGAGAGGAAATGTATCATCGCAACTTATTAGTGACAGAGCCTGGACTCAAACCCAGGTCATTTGTTGACTTTCATCTTAATGACTATTTCCACTCAACCATTCTTAGTCTTGATGGAATCACTTTGCTACTGAGATTTATATTCTTACGGCTAGACTATGGCATCAGGTATCATACATAATATGCACTTAAGAAAGTTTTCTTTAGGGAACAGTTTTAACTGAGCTTAAGTTGTCTTACATAGAACCTTCAAGGAAGGGGGAAAGGTTCAAAAGCCCAGGAGTAAGGGAATGTTAGCAAACCCAACTTTTCCCATATTAGGCAAGCCTCCACTATACTATATGGAGTGTTTAAGTCTCAGAGAAGTGACTAATAGATCAAAGGTCTACATCAAGGGCCCTGCTGCTCAGTTAAAAATTGCATAGTAACAATATACATCTGTATATATACTCTATAATGTACTAAAATAAGTATAAAATTATTATGTAATAATTTGGAGTAATTAATGATGAATTAAAGAATTAATAATTGGATGGTGGTTACATGGTCTCTTACAATAACAATCATGTAAATGTACAGTAACTCTATAATAATGGTGCAAGGACCTTATATAAAGTAAGTGTATAATAACTATACAATCAATATATATTACTGGATAGTGACTATGAATACCTGTGTAATAAGTTTACAATGGTTACAAAGAGACTTCTGTCAACTGTACAATTGTTGTATAATGGGTATATAATAACTATACAATGATTATGTAATAATGACTATACAATGTATAGTCACTGAACAATTCTGTCATTGCTACATCTGCGATTATAAAATTGTGATATAGTGACTGTGTAATGACTATATGATAACAGTACAATGATTGTCCAAAGGCTGTAGAGTAACATTATGTGATGACTCTGTAACTGCTACATAGTGACTGTACAATAATTTCATAGTATCTGTATAACCCTTTGACAACTGAATAATGACTTTACAACGGTAGTTCAGAGGCTGTGTGATAAGGTTGTTCAACTGCTATGTAAATTCAACAATTACTATGCAATGACTATACAATGACAGAGTTAGCTGTATCAGAAGATAGCAACTGTATAACCATCCTGCACAATGATTGTATAGGAATTGTATAATGATTGTCCAAAGGATGTAGAGTTACTTTGCAATGACTCTATAACTGCTCTAAAGTGACTAGGTGATGCCTGTATATACACCAATGGTACCATATTTATAAAATAACTGTACAGTAACTCAATGATGCCCAAACAGTGAGTACAGTGCAGAGAAGGGTAGATTGGCAAGATAGCCAAAAGGGATATTTACCAGAAGTTTTTTCACAGCTTCGGAAGCCTCAGGCCCCAGCTCATCCACACATTTCTTTAGCCCTTCAACCAAGTGCTCCACAGAGATGCCCAGTGTTTTCAAGACCATTTTCAGTGGGTCAATAATGGAGAGGATCATGTCCAGGGGCATGAAATTGTTGATGGGAAGAGACCCACTGTTGATGAAGAAAGCGGTAGCTGGAGAAAAAAGGTGGGGACCACAGAGCATTTGAGATTCCAGGCAAAATTCCCAAATATAGCCCATCTCTAGATAGCAAAATACAAATATCTCTAAGCAGCCTTGATTCCCTCACCATCACTACCAATGTGCAAGTCATGGATTTATCAGGTGGGATTTTTCCCTCCTGGAAAGAAAAACATCCAGATGCTGATATTAGAGAGTTTAGCAGTGAAATTAAAAATCAGAAATAGGAACAAAGACAATTTAAGATCATAGAACTTAGAGCTAGCAGGAAACATACAGATCATCTAATCCAGACCCCTCATTTGACAGGTGAGAAGTTCAGAGAGATTAAGACACAACCCAAAGGTAAAACAGGTAGCAAGTAGCAGAGGCAAGATTCAACCCCAGATCCTCTGATCCCAAATCTCATACTCTTTGTACCAGGTCATACTGTAGATCTTCATCCTCAGTTCACTAGATAAAACCTTGAGATTTCTTCCAATAGAAGAGGCCCATCTGTCCTACCTGCTCATCTATCTGCTTTATAGGTACAATCCTCATAATTGTTCTTATACTATAAGGTAGTGATAGATGGCACAGGGGACAGAGTGCTAGACATCTTTAAGTGATACAACACATATATAAAGTACTTCACAACCCTTAGAATGCCAAAGAAATGCAATTATTACTCTGTCCAGTTTCACTTATGCTGTTATTATTACTGTTGTCATTAAAAGAGCACTAAACTTGACATCCTAAGACTTGAGTTCGTGTTTTTATTTCAATACCTTCAAGTTGTGTGACCAAGGGCAGGTCTCTTAACCCCACTGAGCCTCAGTTTCCTCATCAATATGATGGGACTAACAATCCTCATGCTACCTTCCTCACAGAGTTATTGTGAGAACAGCATTTTGTAAACCTTAAACTATTATATAGAACTGTTATCATTATTATTAGTAACAATACTTCCCTTGTACATAGCTTTGGATTCCAAATATCTGAACTTGAGCCTCAACTCTGACACTCAGAGGCAGTGCTTACCATACAGTAAAAACAGTCCTGAATTTGGAGATGGAGAAACTGGGCTTAAATCCCAGTTGTGCCATGTCCTACCTGTATGACCATGTACAGATCACTCACATTCTTGTTCCTCAGTTGTCACCTCTGAAAAATAGGGCTGAACTGGATAGCCTCTAAGGCCTGTTTAAGATTGAAATGTGATTCTATGCAATGTTATGTCAGTGTCTTTGCCTCTCAAAGACAGTTTTTCCATTTGTAAAATGAGAATAATAGTACTTTCTTGACCTGTCTTCCATATAGGGATGTTTTAAAGATGAAATGAGATAAAGTATGTAAAATACTTTGGAAACCATAGTGCATTGAGAAAACAGCTGGTATTCATATCATTCCTGTCATATTAATTAATTATCATATTACTTTTATTTCATATTAATTAATTTCATTTTAATTATTTCATATTAATTAATTAATCATATTCTGTCTATAAAATGGAGGAGTTAAGTGGCACAGTGGATAGAGTGCTGGGCCTGGAGTCAAGAAGACCTGAGATCAAATCTGGCTTCAGACACTAGCTGTGTGACCCTGGGCAAGTCACTTAATCCTGTTCACCTCAATTTCCTCATCTGTAAAATGAGCTAGAGAAGGAAATGGCAAACCAATCCAGTATTTCTACCAAGAAAAACTCAAAAAAAAGAGATCACTAAGAGTCGAATCCAACTGAAAACAATTAAACAACAATAATTCTATAAAATATTCCTGGAATATCGGACAGGTTTATGTTATTATCCATAAAGGGTGAAGAAATTGAAGCAGCATGGTACAGGGGAATGAACATTGCATTAGGAGTCAAAGACCTTCAGTTCCAATCCTGGCTCTGCTACTGTGTGCATGACAATCCAAGGCACATCTCTTCGCTTCATTCACTTCTGTGTGAAACGAGATTGTTGGAATGAATGACCTCTCCATTTCCTTCCAGCTCCATCTATGATCCTAAGATGCCCCCAATTTGGTGTCAGGTCCAGGACTAGGCCCTGAGTCTCCAGAGCCCTCATGTATTATTATTTCTACTACCTTTCGCTGCTCCTGTTCCTCAATCCATCGTTTGCTAAAGCTGGAAGGACTCTCTGATCTCATCTCATCCCAAACCCTCATTTGACAGAAAAGGATACAGGGCCAGAGACTTGCCCTAGGTCATCCAATGATTTAGTGGCAGCACTGGGACCCAAAGCCAGGTCTCTTGAATTCCTGTCCAGGCCCATTCAATCATACTACAGCTACTTCTCAGGCCCCCAAATGTTTTAGGAATTGCCTCTGTTCAGACAACTTACCAGAGTAACTGCAGACGGCAAAAGTTACAAACAGAAAGACGTGTCCCAGCTTCATGACTGTTGTCCCTGGCAGAAACTTCTCAGATTCTTGAAGTTTGAAAGGAAATCCCAATAGACTCACTATTGAACTTAGTCAGCTGTGGTGCCGAGTGAACAACAAACACACATGTATATATATTCATGGATTCCCCATTCAGCAACCCCAAGCCCCCTTGACCTTTCAGAAATGATACATGGGTCATGTTTCTCTAGCAAACAGACCAAGGCTCCTTCCTCCTTCCCTCATGTTCCCGTGGGAATGGAAATTTTCCTTGTTGATTCTGCTGCACAGGGGCCTCCTCTGGGGAACCAGAAGTGGGCACCCAAACATATTCCTACTGATGCAATTTGAGCAGCAGTTGCTATTGTTCCACTAAAGGTCATCTTCCCCCCAAGTGTGGTACACTTTTGAAAGAGCATCCATTTGGGCCACTAGACTGAGGCTTGATTGTCAGCTCAGCCACTATGTGACCTTGAACAATCTATCATCAACAAACATTTATTCAGCTATGTCCCAGGCACTGTGCTAGATGTTAGAGATACAAGTGTGATGAATGAAATAATCCCACTTCTCAAGAAGATTTTATTCTAATGGGAGAAACAAGTATGTACATAAATGTATATAGTATAAGTATAAAGAGTATCAAGACAAATCTATACCAAGTAGTTAGATACAAGGTAGTTTAGGAGGGAGGGCACTAGTAGTTGGGGGACCAAGGAAGACTTTATGCAGAAAAAAATGGTGCTTGAGCTGCATTTCGAAGGAAGAGAGGTATTCTGAAGATGAGGTGAGGAAGACATGAATTCTGACTATGGGGGATGACCAGGACAAAGTCATAGAGATAAAATGTCCTGTGGAAGAAACAGACAGCAGACCAGTCTGGATGGAACAGAGAGTTTGGGAGGGGGAATAATGTCCAATGATGCTGAAAAGGTAGGTTGGGGCCAGGTTTTGAAAGGCTTTAAAAACTAAATATAGGAGCTTAAATTTTATCCTAGAGGCAATAGGAAGCACCTGAAATTGTTTGGAGAGAGAAATGACCTGGTCAGATCTGTGATTAATAATGATAATAATAATGATAAATACTAGTATTTATATAGCACTGTAAGGTTCACAAAGCACTTTATAAATATTATCTCATTTTATCCTCACAACAACCTTGGGAGGTAGATATTATTATAATAATTGTTCACATGAGGAGAATGAGGCAGACAGCAGTGAAACAAATTGCCCAGGGTTACATAGCTTGTAAGTATCTGGGACAGGATTTGAACTCAGATCTTCTGGACTCCAGGTCCAGCACTTGAGTTATCCACTACACTACCTACCTACCTACCTACCTATTGATTTGATTATAAAGAAAATCATGTTGGCAAGAGTGTATAGGATGGACTAGAGTGGAGACACTTGAGTTGGGAAAACCAATTGCAAGACTGTTGTAATAATTTAAGTGAGAGCTGATTAGGACCTGAACTAATATGGTAGCTATGTGAGTAGAGAGAAAGAGAGATATGAGAGATATTTTCAAAATTGAAAAGGCAAGGTTTGTTAATTGATTGGATATTTGGGGTGAGGAAAAGAAAAGAGTCAAGGGGACGCTTTGATAGAAATAGGGAAATTTAGAAGAGGAAAGGATTAACTCATTTAAACTGCTCAGATCTGTTACCTCACATGTCAAATGTTAGGCGATATGACTAATAAGGTATATTCCAGTTCTAAATCCATGATCATAAGTTTTGTCTTAGAACCCTAGAATGTCAGAAGTAGCAGAATCTCACAACTGGAAAGACCTCTTCACTGAGTAAGAATTCCATCTAAGCATCTAATAATGATGATTATAGCTCTCATTTATATAGTTAAACTTACTAGCTGCATAATCCTGGACAAGTCATTTTATCTCTCTCTGCCGCATTTTCCTCATATGTACAATAGGAATAACAATATTGTTATTGTTGTTGTAAGGATAAAATGAGATATTATTTATAAAGAGTTTTGTGAACCTTACAGTGCTACATAAATACTAGCCATTCTTTTGCCAAATGCTTTACACATACCATCTTACATAATACTCACGGCAGTCTTATGAAGTAGGCACTGAGGAAACTGAGACTTGGGGAACTTATATGATGTACAAAAGAAGTAAATATCAGAAGTAGGATGATACTCACTACCTATGTGACCAGAGGTAGTTTGTCATAGTGGATAGAGAGCTGGCCTTAAAGCCAAGACAACTTGATTTCAAATTCTGCCTCTGAATTTGGAACTATGCCTAAAGGGCTATAAAACTGTGCATACCCTTTGATTCAGCCATACCACTTCTAGCACTGTATCCCAAAGAGATCATAAAAAAGGGAAAAGGATCCATATGTACAAAAATATTTATAGCAGCTCTTTCTGTGGTGGCAAAAAATTGGAAATTGAGGAGACATCCATCAATAGGGGAATGGCTGCACAAGTTACGGTACTTAATTGTAATGGAATACTATTGTGCTATAAGAAATGATGAGCAGGCAGATTTCATAAAAACCTGGAAAGACTTACACGAACTGAAGCCAAGTGAAGTGAGCAGAACCAGTATCGGCCAATTGTGCAATGACCAAAGATAATTCCAAAAGACTTATTATGGCAAATGTTATCCACATCCAGAGAAAGAAATATGGAGTCTGAATGCAGATCAAAGCATACTGTTTTCTCTTCTTTGTTTATTTTTTGTTTTTTTTTTCTTATGGTTTTCCCCTTTTGTTCTGATTCTTCTTTCATAACATGATTAATGTGGAAATATGTTTAATATGATTGCACATGTATAGTCTATCAGACTGCTTGTTGTCTCAGGGTGGGGTGAGGGGAGGGGGGAAAGGAGAAAATTTGGAATTCAAATTCTTATAGAAGTGAATGTTGTAAAAAAATATGTGTGTACATGTATACTTAAAAAAGTCAAATTCTGCCTTTGATATTCCTGGCTGTGTCACCCTGGGCAAGTCACTTATTCTCTTAATTCTCTAGGCACCTCTTTAAGACTCTTAATTGCTAAGAAGATGCCAACATGCACCGGCAGAAGGAGTTCTCTCCCTTAGGAGGAAAATTCTTACATCCCTATTCATTCCTATATCAATGAAATTAAATTCCAGTCCTGATCCCAGGGCAAGTCACTTTACTTCCCTGGGCCTCAGTTTCCTCATCTGGACAATGAGAGTATTGAACTAGATAGCCACTGAGGTCCCTTCAAGTTCTATATCTATGAGCCTATGAACTTGTGAAGAAAGTGAATGAAGTGCTAGATTTGGAGTCATCTTGAAGATGTCCAGCATGAGGGATTTCACCATTAATCTAGTACAGCCCATTCTACTTTGAGGCAATTCCAATTTCTTGAAGTTTTTTTTCCTTATTCCAATCTGAAATCTGCCTTTCTGCATCCTTAAAGAACTGCTCTTAATTTTACCCACTAATGTCAAGAAAAACAAATTTAATGTCCCCTCAACATGATGGCTCTTTCAGCTGTTTAATGATAGTTGTGAACTCCCCACCGCCAACCTTTCACTTCCCTGATCAGAGTATCCATGATTCTGTCATCTGGAGCTCCTTCAACATATCCTCCCCCAGTCTTTTTGCCTGGTTGTGTTCTAGCTGGTCAAGGCCCTTCCTGAAGGAACCAGTTCTATATGCAGTCTGTTGAATGAAGAAGATACTAGGATCTGTTTTCCCTTGTCTCCTGTTTCTATTAATGGAGTCAGATCACTTCAGCTTTTTTGACTGTCATATCATACTGAGACCTCACACTGAGTTCAAAGTCAACCAAAACTCTCATGTATTTTCTACATGCCCTATTGTCTATTCACATCTCCTCCACTCTATATTTATGCAATTGGTTTTCCAAACCAAAGTAAAGAGCCTTCCTATTATCTGATAAATTCCTTCTTATTATATTGAGTGCATCATACCCTCTTTCAAAAATCCGTTTACCTGGAGGGGAAGCACAGTTCTAGAAGTATGGCCAGAGGATAATCTGAATGATATGTCACAAAGAGAGACAGAGAGAGAGAGAGACAGAGACAGAGACAGAAAGACAGAGGCAGAGACAGAGAAAGACAGACAGAGACAGAGACAGAGAGAGTTCCAGTAGTGAAATTTCCCCTTAGCTTTTTTTTTGAAACTTGATAAAGCTCTGGTAATGCATTATTCACAAAATTGTAGAGATGGAAAGGACTTTAGAAAAAGTATTGGTGGAAAGTATTGCAGAACTTAAGATATCAGAGCAAAGTGGGATGATAGAACATAGAACACAGAATGTCAGAGCAGAAATGGAATAAAACTTTAAAGCTGGAAGTGGCCTTCAATTCAGTTCAACAAGAAATAATTGTTTACTAAATATCAAGCGCTGAGTTTGGTCCTAGGAATACGGGGATTAAAATGAAATAACCCCATTGCCTCCAAGGAGTTTACACTATACTGGGAGAAGCAACACGATCCTAGAGATGATCAAACAACCTACCCATTTTGCAGATGAGGAAAATGAGACCCTTTTTGGATGTGCCTTCAACTCTAAAATCCTATGAACTATATGTAATACAAGGCTTTGTAAATTTCAGAGTGCTATAAAACAGTGAGTCTAAACTATGGAGTTAGATCATTCCAGTGTTGACCTATTCTGATCCTTAAGAAGTTCACCCTTTTAATGAATCAAAATCAGCTCTCCTGTGACTTCTCCTCATTGCTCCTTGTTCTGCTCTCTCAGGCCAAGTGGAGCAAACTCTAATCCTGCTTTCCCATACCAGCCCTTCAGATAATTCATGTCAGCCCTTCATGATTTCTGAAAGCAACAATCATGACCTTATACAAGTCATTTTATTCCTCTGTTTACTCATCTGTAAAATGAGAGTTTGGACTAGATGACAGATCCCTTTAAACTCTAAATTCTAGGATTCTCTTTCCCCTACTAAGCCTCTTCTTTTCCAGCTTAAAAATTCTCGACAAAACTAGAATTTAGAAATGCATCAGTCTAATCCCCCTCAGATTTCAGATAAGGAAACTGAGACTCCCCAAAAGGAAAGCATCTTATTCAAATCATATCTGGTCCTAAAGTCAGAGATGATAAGG